TATAAACATAAAAGATCATACATATAGAAAATGAAAGATAAGCACCATACAAAAGAAATAACATAAAATAAAACTTACAATAAATATAATTGCTTAATAATCCGATAAATCATTTTCGGATCCATTAAAATTATTAAATAATCCGATAAAATATTATTAAATTCTTATATAACATGATAATAGAAGATGATTGTGATCTTGAGGTGCCAATTGAAGTTGAAAGAGAAGTCATGTCAAGGAAAATTGAAATTGAAGAAAATAATAATGTGAGGTTCCAAAAGTTTCTTTCCCATTTCAGAGAAATCAAAGATAAAGAAGCTCATTTTTTACTTCGAAATGCATTAGTTGAACATTTGTGGGAAATTATTATAATTCTAAATAATTTAGAATTGATGTATTATTGTGTTTAAGCTATATAATGTAATTTTTAATGTATTAAATGTATTCTTTTAAAACCTTGTTGAGTAGTTTTATTTATATAATAAAATTTTACTTGTGGTTAATATTGTATTTAATAGAAATGCTATAAATTTAAAATGGACTGTTTTGCAAATAGTAGAAATGAAAGGTGATATTCCTAATTTTGAAATAAATATAATATTAAAAATATTATTTTGGAGTAGAAAATGGAGTAATACATTGGAGTAAAACTCAACTGCATTTTGGAGTTACTCCATTTTAGAGTAGAAAATGGAGTAATACATTGGAGATGCTCTTATAAGGATGTCAAATGGGCGGAGCTGTTCATGAGTGGTCCGCTGTTAGATACGAGGCTCCACACCTTCCAATACACACGTGAGGGACATGCCATATGCTCGTAACCGTAGTGTAACCAACATGTGATGTACCTAACGTCTACATAGTCACTACTTATAGTAGTAAATAAAAATAAGCACCAAGAAAAGAAATTAATCATAGAGGAGAGAAAACTCCATCAGTGATAACCCTTAGCCCGGGACCAGCCGACATTAATGTCATTTCTGGCGTAAAACATTCTTCCCAGTGTGAGTCAATCCTACGTGGTGTGTTTACGGAGTTTCAGGTAACACATACGGAAAATGTCATGACAAAAAACCTGAAGTTGAGAACGTTGTGAAAGTAATGCAACATGGCATCAGTAAGATCATTTCGATGGAGCAGAGCATCAATGATCGAGAGGCTGATGAAAAGGTTCAGTGTCCTAAGTCGATTGGAACAGTGGATGAACAAAGAGAATAAAGTGAATATCAGTCTACTTAATGCTAGGCAATCTGAGTATACGGAACACAAAACTGATATTTTTTTCCCTCTAAACCTTAAGGTGTGTCAAGTTTTATATTTGATTTTTTAAAAAGGATGTTAGAGACTATATTTAAATTAGAGACGGTTATGGTAAGAGACACAATGTCACTTTCTTAATCACTTAGAGACACTTCTATTAGTTGACACTCAATATTGAGCCAGCTGTTTATTTTTGGACTAAAGTATCCCTGATTCCCTGTAAAGAGGAGATTGTTACAGTTTTGGAATCAACTTGTCATTGGTAGAATGTAACTAGGAGAGATTAGAATTAACTTGAGTTGTAATAAATGAAAATAAGGTAAAGAAAAATAGATAGATATATGGGAGAGAGGGAAGAGTTATGGGACGTTGGATTTGATTTAAAGAAAAACATCTAACGGCTGGAGGAGGTTGCCTCCTTGTACGAGTTATCTTGGTAGATGGTGCAATTTAGAAGAAATCTTTCTCTCTTGATAGCGTGGATTTGTGTTGGAAAGTGGTGAAAAAATAATTTCGTGAGATCTTGATTTTCTTTTATGTTTGGAGCGAGTGCGAAAGCAACTCTCTCTTGAGCATCGTGTCTCTTTACGGAATCTAGTCGGCGAAGGTAGTGCAGCAATAACATGTGCTGGTTTTATATTTTCTAATATTATTACGATTTGTTTGTCGTGAGTTATAGAAAGTAATGATCTTTGTGTGAAACGCAGATGGATGATATATGTTTGGTGATGTATGGAGCCTGGGTTAGTGGTTTGGATGGTAAATGGGAGTTCATGGTGGACAAGAAGAAGATGGCTAGGATGTTTTCGGTTGAGGAAAGAATGTCCATCAAAGAGCTCGAACATCGGGTGGTTAGTGAGTTCAGATTTGGGGGAGCTGAATATGGTGTTGCGCTATCTTATTGGCCACCGAATAGCATGGATCTAGCAACTGGAATTAAACCCTCCCCCTTCTTCCCCCGTATTGCTAACAAGCGATGGGGTGGTAAAGTATTTTCTCACGGATATGAAGGTTACGGGTCAATGAATCTGTTTGCTACGGTTGAACGTCTGGAGTGGATTTGCAAGCTGATGGTGGTATGGGAGTGGTATTTAATACACCTGTGGGGATAAGAAGCGGAGTGAAAACGATTTTAAAGGGAAGGGAGGGTACGTTCAAGCAAATGGTCCCAAAACAGCTTCATCAATCTCGACGATGATGAATTGGTGAATGAGGTGGAGAAATTAGAAGAATGAATGAGGTCAGAGAGTAACCCCACTGGTGTAGGTGATTTTAGTGGTTTCAGCGAAGGTATTGAGAGCGATTATAGTGGGTTAGAAGAGGTGGATGAGAGGGATGTTAGGTCAAGAGTATATGACTATCAACTCTGGGAACCACTTATTGCAGGTGATTTAGGAGGTTCAGATGAAGTTGAAGTTGTATTCAGTGATAAAGATGCAAAAGGTGTGATTAAGGAGGAAGAGGTAGGAAGACCTTACAGCTGTTATACGAACAATGCATTTGATCATGAAGTTGATCCCGGTGGATCTGGCGCGTGGGAGAGAGATGATACAAAAGATGAAGATCATATGGATGACTTGTCGTGGATGGGTAAAACAAGTTTACGTGGATGCATTAATCATGGCCGTGAAAGTGGTGGACACAAAACAGAGAAAAGGAAGCTGAGCGAAGTAGATGACGAAGAATTTGATATTCCCCCTTTATATGACAACACCGTGTATAAGGCTGCTGAGATACCTGCGCTTGATGTGGAAGAAGCGGATGGTGTGGTGCATGTTGGAAAAGTCTAAGGTAGCAAAGTTGATTGTCAAATATCGTTGGCCATTTATGCCATCAAGCATCAATTCCAATTCAGACAGACACAGACAAAAAATGACTCATTTACGTGCGAGTGCCCTGATCCACGGTGTGATTGGAGAGTGACGGCGCATGAAATAAGGGGGACTGGCTACTATTAGATAAGGAAAGTTCAACTGGATCATTCTTGTCCGATATCTTCTTGCGGAGTTATAAAGACTGACAACTCTTTGACTAACTGTAACAGGGTTTAAAGTAAAATTCAACATAATACTATTTTGGTTTTATCTTATTATATTTTTGTCAAACATTTGTTATCACATTATGTATTTTAATTATTCTATTTTTTTTTGGTGTTGTGTTTATTTGATCAATGAAAAGATAATGTTATTATTCTGTAGTCTGCCATTTTGTCAATACAAAAGTTGAAGTGAAAGTAATGTTTTTTTATTTAAGTATTTTTGTTTGATTTATCACCAATTTCGTTCTTTTCTCCTCATATTATTTTCTACTGTATGTATTTGGTAAATGTCTTAACTAGATTATTTTGTATAAATTTTTATTTTATATGTTTTATATTTTTATTTGTTGAACATGCAAAATCTGTTGGTTGTTTCTATATATTCGAATGAATACAATATCTTTGGATTTTACTTAATATCTAGAAAACTAAATTTTCATTTATTTATGGAATAATAGATTGGGTAATCTTCTCAAACAAATCTAAATAATGTTATTTGACCAAAAGAGTACACAAATAGATAAATGATTAAAAAATCATTAAAAAGGTAAAAGATTCTTCCACAATTACTTCTTAAATAGAAATACATAAATTAAAATAAATTTAATTTTTGGGAGATGTACTTCAGTTTGAATATTTATTTTTTCGAAAATCTTTGTTCAAACGAAAAGAAATTCAAAATTTTATTTTGAAATCCGCAAATTCATTTTGAAACTATTTTTGAAATTATTCATTTTAACTTCAAATATTATTTTTATAAAAATCCATAACCTCTTCACAAAACTCATCCTCGACCCTAAGGATATAAATATTTTGTACCTATTGTGTATAACATTCCGGTCATTTTATCTTTGTGTGTGCTATATTTATGTTAAAAACTTTAGTGCTATATTTAAAATTTCTCTATTAAATTTGTTGAGATCTGTGTGAGCAGAATAATACTCTTTTACTCTTCCCTTTCTTTTAGTTTTCACTTGTTAATGTTCATTCGGTAATTATTCCACTATAAATTAGTCCCTAGATTGTAAGTCCGATTTAGATAGATTTATCAATGTGATTGTTAGAAACTTTATGGGACCTAGATAACTTAGTGAAATGTAAAATTTATGTATGTTTTTCTTTATCAAGAGCAACTTACGGGTCCACCAGAGCGGCTTGCATTGCACATCATCTGCTTCAAACCTTTCAAACATAAGAACAAAAAAATCTTCTGAGAGTCTCAATAAAATCTTGATTTATTTACTCGCTTCTGAACAGAAAATTCTCACGACTATCCTCATGCACAAACTCGTACACAAGAAGCCATTGTTCATCTTCCAAACAATAACCAATCAGTTCAACTAATTTTGGATGACTTAACTGCCACGAGTAGTTGATCTCTGTCTGAAAAAAAATATCCAAAGAGATCAGAGAATCAAACAATAAAAGTTTGAGATGAGAGTGACATAATAAAAAGATCAATGTTGTGTGTCACACATTCTCAGTGACCTTGAAAGCCATCAGTATTAGGACGCTTGATAGAAAATACTATACCAGTGCTGGATCTAGTTGAAGCTACATTAGTCTCATCGTTCCAAACTCTATAGATAGAATCGAAGCCGCCTTCACCGACAACAGAGCCTTATCTCAAGTTTATGGTTGCACGTTTAAATTCGTTAAATGTAAGGCTCTTAACATTCAATTTGCTAAGTATCTTTCCTTCGCTCTTATGAGCTGCCGATGATGATAATGATGATTGAACACTCGAGGTAAAGGTCGTAGAGACCACTGCTCATATCTTCAGAAACACGCACACAAAGGGTTGACTAAAGTCAAAACTATGGATAATTGGAGAAGGTGGAAATTTTTTAACTTAGATCACGTGAAATCTCACAAAGTTCATTCTTTTTCTCAGAACCTATCACTAATAAACTGATAAAAGATGGAATTTTAAGAAAAACACTTTAAATAACTTTTTAAAAAAAATTCCAGCAAACTGTACAAAGAGAAAATTAAAAGGGACAAGGACCAAACAAAAATCATCTCCCAAATACATTAACTCAAGTTTTCCAGGAAATAGTTTGATGATTATGAGTTTTCTTGCTGGAATTACCTCTGCGTCGATAGTGAACATGTCTAGCCCATAAGCTCGCCGCCTCGTTTCACATTTTTCGCTTCTAAACCTAAGCATGTGAACTTGGACGGTTGAGGTGCATAATGACTAGCCTTCAAATCAATGAGGAAGAGAGGGGGAGGTTAGTAATTATTAATTATGAAAGTTTAGAACCCTATATGATCGATATGAACATTGATGAAATGAGATTATCTCTTTATAGTGGAAGAATTACAAAATGGAAGTAATTAGGGATGCATTGAATCACAAATCTGTGAGTAGTGGGAGATGTTCTTAATGAGTGAGTTAAAAGGGACAATTGGATGCATTTGTCTTCAGTAACTTAGAATCTACAGATGACACACTCGAAGAAGGGGAAGGTACAAACGTTGTGACCTTTTGTGTTTTTTTTTCTTCTGTGAAGCCCAACTAATATGATTTGTGGCTCGTATATTAGAAAAATGTTAAAGCCCGTACAATAACAAAACGTTTAAACCCGTGAAATAGCAAATGAAAGTGAAAGAATAAACACATTCGGACACGTGGCGTGTTCTCTTCTCTCTATTTAATGTTGTGGCACCACCAAGAGGGAGGAAACTCTACTTTATGTAATAAGATACATATATTAAATATAAAAAAAAATTATAAAATTTACGACTGAAAATATATGATTTAAATTTAAAAACATCTATCCATTTACAATAATATTATATTATTACATATTATAATTGTGAAAATATAAAGAAATTAAGTTTATAAAAATTATTAGGCATTAGTTATTTTAATATTTCATAATTAATTGACACGATATTTTTAAACACTTATGTTATATATCTAATAAAATTCAGTGTATAAAGATAATATATAGTATTAGTTTTAATATTTACATATTTCCATTTTCTTTATTTCAGATTTATTCAATTTTAAATTTTGCACAATAAAACATAAAAACATGATTTTAGCTTTTTATTTATTTATGATATTGTGTATTTTATTAATGGTAATGTGATACTAAAATAGAATCATCCAATGTGTTTTTAAATAGAATATTTTTAAAATGAGCTTTTGTAAGCTTCCATAAGTAACTGATTCCGATTTTGATTCTAGTTTTGAAATGAGAAGTGGACATCAGTTGAAGTTTCCATGTAACCCATGTATGCATTATACTAGTTTTAACGAACGTGTCTATCCTGGTTACAAAGAGACTTTTCTCTCTTCACTTCTTTTTTTTTACTTTTGCAGATCTTTTAGAGGGATGAAGAGTTAAGTCTTGATTTTTTTTTTTTTTCGGATGTGGATTTTAATTTCCTATTAGTGGATTGACCTAGTTTTTATTCTTCTGTTTATCATATTCAATCTGTTTTAATTTAGAGATCTCTCTTATCTTTCTAGGGTTAATGTTCTTGATTAATAAAGGAATATGCATCTTTGACTAGACAGAGTATCCTTGAAAAATTAAGAATCTGTAAGTTTGGGGGCAGGGGGGGTGCTGTATTGAACTAGACATTTAGAATGATTTGAGCTTTAATAAAAATTTAGATGATTTTGATGGTTTTGGATGATTTTAAAGTAGTTGTTATGATTTTGTATTAAAATACTCTGAAATTCCATCTAAAACCATGAGATTTAGATCTTTGTATTTTAAACTAAGAAAATCTCCTAAAATTCCTTGCAATCATTAAAATCCCCATACATAAAACATTTTCAATAACGGTAGATTTGATATGATTTTAGCAAATTATTTTTTGAATAACAGAAAATTTTAAATGATTTCAAGTGATTTTATATAAATTTCATGTTCAATAACAGTGTATTTTAGAAAGCTTTTTAAAATTTTTAGTTGAATAACAGAAGATTTTAATAAAAATTCAAAGTCTCCTAAAATCATTGATTCAATACACCATCTTGGTTTATGATTTGGTAAATCAGTAAAAAAAATCGGATAAGGTGGAGATTTCTTCATGAAAATAGGTTCTGACAAAATTTTGTACATTCTCTAAGAATTTTTCTACTGGATTACACTTTCAAAGAGTTGATGAAGAGCTTAATAAATTCGACAGCGGCTATAAGAAGGAGGAGCATACATGTGGAGTCAAGGAAAACAGGTCGGAGTTTGGTAGCTTCCGGCCAGGACCGTGTCTGACATTTTGTAGGTTAGAAGCATAAAAACAATTTTGGCCCCTTAATTTTTTTTAATATAAAATATTTAACCTAAATAATTTATAAAACCAAAATAATACAAGAATAATGCTAAGCTAAATTGAACTCGTGATCTGTAGCAGAACACTGGGCCAATGACATCTTTACGAAAATTTGGCCCCCAAAATAATATTTACTCTTAATGGCCCCAAAGCCAATGTTTGATTCGCTTTGTATCAAGCATGGCCCTACTTCCGGCCAACATGCTTTTCGTTGAAGCTCTATGTCTCCTTGTTCAGAAAGAGAAGAAGAGACATAACATGACACGTATTAAACATGCATTTATCTTTAGTTGTAGATATGAGTCTTTTGGGGCTTATTGTTTTTTTGTATGCAATTGGGCTTAATTGTTTTGTACTAAAATGGCTTAATTATTTTAATGAAATAAAAAAGGTTGACAAAAAAAGTATGCATTATACTAAATTTATTATACTATTTATGTATCAGTTAACTGAAGATATAAAATAGTTAAGAATAATAACAGTGTAATAATGTTAACATATTATTTGTTATAACCATTAACTAGATTTTAACCCGCGCTTTCAAAGCGCGGGAATGTTTCTTTTTAATATTTAATTTTATAACATATGAATTTATATTTAAAATTTATATCATGTGTTTTGTGAATTTGTTTAATAGTTATTTTATGAATTTTTAAACCTTCAATTACATTTATTTTGTGTAAAAACCACTCAATTAATGATCTAATGAATAAATCCTTTAATCAGTTTTCTTTAACAATCTGACCCCTCTATTATTTTTTTCCGTCAAAGTTAAACGCAACGTATTTAAAAAAGTTTAAAACAACATGATATATAGATAAACAACATGATGTTTAATTAGAATGTCATGTAGTTTACACTAAACAAATTTAGTTGGGGGTTTTACGTTAAAAATCCTCATTTTATATGGTTTGGATGATCAATACCTACTTTAAATTTTGAGAAAATAATTTTTTTTTGTTACAGAAATAAAATATAAATCAAATTTGAAATGATTCGCAGTATACTTTAATTCGTCTGATCTAAATTATAATTTTAAGAATATATATATATGGTATCTTAATATGTACTAAATTAAAAAATAATTAAGTTTTCAATAACAGTGTTTAATATTTTGATCAAATGAGTTTATTTTATTATTGAAGTGATTAAATAATAGCCCATATACTAAAAGACTAAGTATGAAAAAGAGAAAACAGATTGGTCCCAACAAATCTGATGTTTTTGTTTTTTAGGTTCACCAAAATCATATTATTGGTCTAAAAAACCATTCACATGTTACGGAAGAAAAGAGAGATCCAGAATGGTGTTTAAATGATTGTGAATGTTGCCCAAACCAAATTATTAAAAACTTGATTATGGGTTACAGTAGAACCTCTACAAATTAATACTCGATAAATTCATATACACTAAATATCTCGATAAAATAATATAATTTTATAGTCTCAATTTGAGTTTTTGGTTCGATTAGTATATCGATAAATTAATATCTCTCTAAATTAATAAAAAATAAAATTTTGGTGTAGTCCTAACATTATTAATTTATAGAGGTTTCAATGTAACTAAAATCTCAAGAATTAAATAAAAGTTTAAAAATATACGCATGTAAGAATATTATGTAGGATATCCCAAATTTAAAGATACATAACTAAAATATTTTAGATATTTTAGTATGTATCGATTTAAGTAAAACCCGTATATAGGAGATTTAGGTGATTATGATTGTTGGCCAAGTTTGGAAATGGTGAATTAACAAAAAAATATATTTTCCAAATAACTTAAACACTATGAATCTACACGCTATGCATATTTAACCTTGCAAGAAATACTCATATTACGTTAAGCTTATATTTAATTATCATGTATATAGTAAAGTCATAATCTTGCATAGATGTAAAACTTTACACAGATGTAAAACCATTTTATGATGTTAAAGATGCACAATATTTTAAGTGTACTATGCTGAAAATAGGGATGGGGAATAAATGATGCGTATTTGAAGAAATAAATGGTGCAATATGATTAGATCATAATTTTTGGTGGTTTGGAATTAAATTTTTAATTAAAAAGATAATGGCATAGCAATGTAATTATCTTGTAAAATTAAGGGCAGAATCCTAGTAGGGATTCTGCTTTAATAGTATAGATATTTCAGTCTTGATTTTAAATAATAATTTTAAAACAAAATCTTAATTCGAAACTATAAG